CCTCTAAAGGAAGCACAAAGAAAATCGCCTTATCATATATAAAGGATATCTCAGAAATCACTACAAGACTCTTCAAACCTTTAGGAATTGACGTCGTACACAAACCAACAAAGTCACTTCACTCAATTCTATGTCAACCAAAAGACTCAACAGAAAACGAAGATAAAACCAACATCATCTACAAAACAACTGCGAAAAACACTGCATTGGTCAAAGTGAATGTCCCCTTTGTCTTCGTATCCACGAACATAAGCTAGCCCTCAAAAGACATGATATCCACTCCCTCATATCACTACACACAGGCAACCACGGACATCAATTCGACTAGGACAACCTACATTGAGATATTAGACAGAGGAAACAACAAGAATGCTAGAGAATTTTTAGAAGCTTGGCATTCCAGTGAATCATCAATCAACAGACACATTGAGATAGACAAAATTTATCCAGCGATAAGAAATAAACTTTACACACAAAGGGTCAACGTTCAAGTCAAAGAAACAATCAGTTCCAATACAAGTAACCCAGAAGGTGTGAAAACACACAAAAACAACCAATCACGTCCAAGGTCACCAGGAGAGATGATTAAATGAACTCGTGGAGAAATCTAAAATCTCGCTTCAACAAATTGAAGTATGCTCTGAAGATGTCACCTATTAGGGTGATGAAAGCTTCGCAAATCAACCATTCAGCTCAGAGGACACAACCACATCAAAAACTTCCTATCCTTAAAATATGTGTCAGTGCAAACCAGTCGTATGACATTTTTTATTTGATAAAGAAAAGCTTAGTAATAAACATGTATCTTTCTCAAGTCGTTACGAACCCATTTTTCACCTAACAAGATTATAGTCTGCATACTCTGGATCAAAGGTTCCCCCTGTTAATAAGTCACTTTCTGAAATACTGAAATCGACCGGCCACTTATTATAGTACATACATAATTGATATGTATCCATTTATATATTTATGTGTGTGTGTGTATGTTGGTCTCTCTTTCTGTTTGCTCGCTTAGTCTGTGACCATTTCACTTGTCTCCTTTAACAACGTATATTCTCCTTATATTATATATAATATAATATGAGTGTTTGTTGACAGTCCGTTGCTTGGTGACATATATCCATATATGGTGGTTGTTGACATGTCTGATATATTTCGCTATGTATATATGGACCGATACTTCATTATAATTAGCCATTCATGTTAAGACTGTCCAATGATTGTTCACACCTTTGTCTGAACATTCATATATATATTTCGTTCTCACAATTTGTGTGACACACTTACTTTCTTTTGGTGTGATACCACTTGTTGCTTCTCCTTGTGTTTAGAAAATAGAAGTATCATCGCAAACCTAGTGGTCTTCTGATTTCCGCCTTCTTGAGTCAGGACTATTACATTCTCGACCAGTCCATAACAATAATTTAGCGACGAGTACATAACAATTTGGCGACGGGGAAACTAGTACATAACAATAATAAAATTAAATAAAGATGGTGAAATTGAACATCCCTGACATATACCGCTGGTTGTCTTTATTTCAGATGACAGCTCTCATAAGCTCTAAAGCGACCGCATCAGTCCAAGTAGGACACCCTGAGTTGGGAGTGCTCAAGCTGGACAAATCTGGTGTCAGGCCATGACGACTTTCACAGCTGATTTGAGCCATGAAAGGAAATATGGACTGACTGGACAGTATCGCCGGAATGCTACGAAGCAATTGATGTAGGTTATCGGTGATATGCACTTCAATGCCTGAGGTGCATTCAACCTTTATGGTCACTCAGATTCACTAAACTAAGTTTTTTCCATGTTACTTTGCTTTCTGCCTTACATTTCAGTTTTATTATACTCCACTATAGCCATCATTACGATATTTCTAATAAACCACCTCATATGCAATTACTTAGTACCACAATGCCCAAATTTTACACATATAGTCCATTATAACCTTTCTCTCTTTGTCTTCCCTTGTGCGCTACTCGGAGATTGTCAACTCGAAGCACCGCTTTTCTGTGTCAAGTTCTATGTTCAAACTCAATCACACAGTCAGTCGGTCAGACTACTTTGAGTAGTAGAACATCCTTTCTTGATACTCCCTCTAAAGCCAGCATAGCTCAACCGATGGAATTAAATTTCACTACCAAGTGTCAGACACTAGTACAATATGTCTATATCCCAGAACTTGTCGAAGAGTGGAGATATGATCAACACAATTTATATCAGTCACAGTTTCCTCAGCTTTGTTTTCTGAAGCTCCACATAGACTTCATGAGACTATGGAATCTAGAATTTGAATACTATACCAGTCAATCCGATTTCCTGTAATTTCCACAAGTGAATTTTAATCTCTCCTAATAAACTGCAATGATCAACAATCTATACCAGTCCAAAGGAACTGTCTTGAATTCTTAGGAGATACCTTAGTTGATCCACCTTATAATTCATCACGACCATTATCAAACACTGGATACACCCAGGTCCTGCTGACTTGCATCGTTTCAGGTCAAAGATACAGCCTCTCAATCTCGACAACAACTGTGCACTATGAGAAAATAAGAATATGGACAACAAAATCAACAATACACATATGCCCCACTTCTATAAGTTCCAGGTAATTTAACCCACCCATAAATATCTAAATTATAGACCAGAACCGTTTCAATATATAGAACAGCATACCTTACAAGAATTACGAATATCAGCAGACTAAATTTGATCAATGGCTGCGTCAGCATCAAGTAAACATGGTTGTTCTTCATTTAAATTTTCTAATGTAGTACGTAAATTATCCGCTTCAGTTTGCAACAACTGGATTCCTCGTTGGTATTGATGATTCAACGATTCACTCATATCCAAATGTCTTTGAAGCTCTGATATGTGACTATAAATCAGTGCGGAGTGAGGGGAGAAATAGCGAGAACACTTCATTAGTGAATTAATATAAAGTGGACGAGTAAGAAGGAGCTTACATTTTATAAACCAACAGGGTGTGCAAGGAGAGGATAAAGGCGAATAGTGATGTGTGTGTATGTGTGCATGAATGTGTGAATCGTTTCATATTTTCATTGGACAGTTCAAACTAAAATTCACTAACTTAACTTCCAGTTGACACTTTCTGGGAGAAGTGTAAATATTTCTTTGAGTATCAATGCCAAAAGTACACAAACAAAGACAAAGTGAGATCTTAAAAAAGTAACATAAACAACAGGCAGAAGATCATATGTCACTTTACTAAACACATGGTATCTAATCAGCAATACATATCCTTCGAGTTTAAGGCATTCGTAGGAAATTATATGGCAAATCCCTCTTTTGATGTGGTGCCACCTATTTTATCCTGCGGATATTGTCGAGTTTTAATAAATGGACCAAATAAACATACTATAGCGTTTAACTTTTGAATCAACATCATTTAACCCATATCATTGTACAAATATCAATACAGTCGGCTCCACCCTCCTGTGAGACCTGGTCATTGAGTGTGGAGGACACGAAAAGGCCGGCTTGCTGTCTTTGATCATAGGTGCCTGCGTTCTATCTCCCGTGTGAAGTGGTATGATAAGGTGAGCAATATTGAGATTAGGCGTCGAGTGCTAGGTAAGGAGGGAAAATCAATAGACGAGGTTGTGAAGTTACATCGACTGAGATGGCTAGGACATGTGTTTCGTATGCCTAGTCATCGCCTTCCTCGACAGTCAATCTTAGCTGACATAGGGTCAGGCTGGAAAAGAGCTAGCGGTGGTCAAACCAAAACAGTTAGTTTAAGATGGCCACGTAGAAAGGTGAAGATTTCCTCACTGGTTGGGGTCCTCGGGACGGTAAACACCAATGACTGGAGATAATCGGTGATATGGCTTAAAATGGTTCGCAATGGCGCCGATGCATCCACTCCTTGCGACTTATAATTTCAAATGAAACTATATTGTTCTTCGTTATTACTATTCCTTTTGTCTCATATCCCTGTCTACTGTCTCTATTTTGCATTTCTTCTACTTTCTTCTCTTGCTTTGTGTGCTACATGGAATGTGGCAACTTGAACTGCAGAGTTCTATGTTGAAAACAAACAGACAGATACACATAATGTATGTCAGATAAACAGCGTCTTTTCATTGATTTTCTTTCGGAAGAGATACTTTTATCAATTTTATGTTATTTAACGCCATCAGTTCTGTTTTCCTCAACACGTGTTAAATCAGTCAGTGCTTCTGTAGGATTCAGAGACCAAAAGCAATTCCAAACAGCTTCAGACTTTTACCAACAACTGTCTCCTTGGTTGGCTCCATATTAAAAATAAGATCAAATGGCCAGTCAGCCAGAAAGAATCAGCAACAAGAAACTATCGCAACAAACTAGCCAAGATTCTATCGTTGAACAATTATGTAGGAGTGTAACAACAGAAGACAAGGGCCAGGCAACAGATCCTTTATTAAGGAAATCAACACATGAATAGATTTTCATGTACACATTACAGATTATTGTTAGCACAAAAAGTCTTCTGATTGGTTGTTTCTTACAGAAAGTTAACCTTGCATCCCTTTGTGCCTGTTTCTTGAACGTCAGATCATCTATATGTTAACTGTATCCGCCTACGCAGTCTTTGTTCTCATTTTTCTCACGACCAATATTGGGGACATAAACATTGACGTAAATTACTGTCCACCAATTTTGGCTAACAGTCAGCTATCACAGAAGAAAGTAGACATCGACAGGGCATACACCCCTGAGGAGACGGTCGAATGACATCACGCGCTAGGCCACCGCTCCAGTGGAACCCGAATGGAAAGTGACAAGTAGGTGGTCGAAGGATGACATGGAAGAGATGAGAGATTATGAACAATCGTAGGCCCAGCCAAATGGAACCTCAGAGAATAGAACAAATAGGAGACGTGCTATTGAACCCAAGGGAACAATAATAATAACAATAACAAAGCATCCAAAATGAAAAATAAAAAACCACAAATGACACACCTTTCAAATTCATTACGTTGTCTACTTAACTAAGCATCTTTTACCAATAGATTCATATCTCGAGATAGTATTTCCTTATTACAGGCTTGTAATTCACTGCATAGATTATCGTATTTACTTCGCCAGTCTAAAGTACATTAAAAATAAATAAACCAAAGATTAAAGAAGAAAGAAAAAGAAAAGCACAAACCGATTTCAGCTTCTTCATTTTTGCTTTTCATCTCATCAACTAGTACTTTCAAACGGTTATTCTCTTCCTTTAACGAGCCAATAATTTCCCTGTTTGTTATATCATCAAAGGAATGATTAGAGAAAATTGAACCATTGACTTACGAGGCTTTATTTAGTGATTGTTGTCTGTCATTGACTAACTTTCGTAAGACTACATTTCCACATTCAGCAGTATGGGCACGCTATAGTAAGTAATAAAATAAAGAACAACATTATATAAATATGCAAAAATCTACAGATGATTCTTGATCATCACACAATTACGAGGTTGACGATAAATTTTTTTATAATTATACAGCGTTAATCGTAAACGGAAATTTTCTCTCTAGAGTGCAGCCAAAGCCTCTTGACTACTTCCAATAGAACTTTTCGAATCTCCTTCTGAAAAAGAAAAATACCAATAAGATGCTTATTAAAAAAACAAACAAAAGCTTACCTTCCGGAGAATGCCAAATTTTGTCCATTTTACCTGAGAAAATTATTCAAGCCTGTAGAAAATAAATACGAGGAAATAAGCCTTGAAATTTCATCATTTGTACATTGCAACATACAACAATGATTCCTAGGAAAGTAATTCACCAAAGAATAAGAACTTACACAGTCTAGTTCGTCGTTATCTTTTTCATCACTATTCTATTTCTTTACGTTCCGAGTGGAACATAGAGCTTCAGGTTACAGTTTTGAAGTGTCGGTAGTAGTGGTATTTAGTTTTAAGAGGTGGGGGGCTTGATAACCTAACTCTTAATCCTCCCTGTTTGTCAGGCTTATTACCGGCTTAGCAGAGGTCTAGGGGTATGTCAGGCGGCCGAAGATCGAACCCTAAACCACGTGGGGCGTGCCTGGTAAGCGTTGTACTGCTAGAGGATCAACGCGCTCGTAGTTATATAATAAAAAACACCTCACCTATGACTGTCGGTTGCATACTGTTACATTTCAAGTTTTCTGGCATTTATACACAAACAATTGTGGACATTTCAATTTAGTTTAGCTATGTTCTTCAACATTACTATCCTTTTTGCCTCATATTTCTGTTCATTATCTCTCGTTACTGTCTTCTCTTGCTTTGTGTGCTCTATGGAGCGTGGCAACTCGAACTGCTGCACATCTGTGCAAAGTTCTATGTCGAAAACAGACAGACAGATGTGGATATTATTATTTTGCGTCACACTAACTCAAAAGAAAACCGTGGTTCACTTTGGAAAATGTAGTCTGTAATAAGCCCTTGAAATCTGTCAAAATCACAATAACTCCATTTCTTAGTGTTTGAGGTGGAAGAAGTAAAACAAGTACTAAATGTTATCAGATGGTTCACTGAAAGGTAGAAGTTCAGTTACTCAGTACCTAGCGAATATCTGACAAACTGTATTAGATGCATTATGTAGATGCACGAAAAGGTAGCCCAGGTGTCAAACAGGCAGCCAATGAACTTATGGCCATTAATTCACACCAAGTGTAGTTTCGCCGGGAGTAGTGAGCAGTAAAGACAGCATGACTACTAGTCGGAAATAGAGATTTTAAACGATCAACATGACCAATATTGAAGATTTATGAATCAGTCGGTGGGAAATAAAACGAATTTCGATAACAGAACAGAAATTCTTCTTTATCAGCATTGGTTACATCATCGGAAAAGGATAAACACTGACATTTACTGAAAACAAAAGTAACTCTAAATTAGGTTTTGATGAAGCATCACATCGGATTATGTGAATGAAGTTATACCAAGTTAAATTGGACATATGTGAGTTGGCCGTTTAGCTGTAGAATGTTCGCCAACGACAACCCACGTGGTACGGGTTGCAATCTCCGACCAGCGCACATCTTCACCTGCCTTAGCCGGTTTTAAGCCCAATAAACAGGAAAGGCTGGGTGTGAGGCTAGTGACTGCACCCTTTTAAAAACACCACTGCTACTCCTGAAACTTCAAAGCTCAAGCTAGAGGCCCTACGTTCCACTGGGAACGCAAAGGAATGGGATAATAAATAAAGCTGAACTTATAAGAAAATACGAGTAAGAAACAAACAGCCTAGCAAAAGCTTCTGTGTGCTTATTTCATCCCTCTCATCGAATATTATTTCTCTTTGTCTCTTCCTTTTTTATGTGTGCTTTTATGAAATGTTACGCCTTGAACTGCTGTGTACTTTTGTGCAATGTTCTGCATTGAAAATACAGTTTTAGTTAAACGAATTCAGTCTAAACAGATAGACTTCCTTCAGGGTTGCAGATACGCCTTGCTAATGAGTGTCAACTAACACGAAACCTAGGTCCAAGGTTTCCTGTCGATTGCCTCCAACCATCTAATACCAAGAATTCACAGTGCACCGTAATAGCGAGCCACCTAGCATAGTGGCCACAGTGCAAGTTTGACTAGCAGAATTCAGTCTACACCGAAGATAGGACTAGACACATTACACTAGTCACTGACTAGTGTTCAATCAAAAATACATTGACTTCTACCAAAAACCAAATACTACACTGCTTGGGTGAGATGAGGGGTGGTATACTAGTCACATTAACTAGTAGTGATTGCTAACCAAATCGAAGTGATCTACACACTGGACGACTGTTTCGCTCTTTGGCGTCAACCTCTAAAAAGGGATGCACGGCTGGTGAGTTCAGTCCCGAACGGGTGAAACAGTTTCGCATGTTTAGACCATTTTAATGATTTGGCTAGCAAGTAAGTACTACTAGTTGATGTGGGTGGCATACAACTATTCATCTCAATCAACCAGTAGTATATCGCGGTATGCACTTGTTGTTTTGATTCCCCTTTATGGAATCCGGCGGATCACATGCCCTGCGATCTGAATAATTTCGGTTTCCAAAGGAAACTGTTCTGAGCTCTCCCTTAGAACTGCATAAATTGCGAATTTAACACATAGGCTTCTCCTTTTCCATACAGAATCTCCTTAACTATTTTCTAAAATATTCCAGGCTTAAGTAAAATAAAAAAGGGAAATATATGCGAAACAAGACGTGGGACAAACCTGAACAATGGGAATTTGCAGCTTTGACTATCTTCACTTAGTATAAATGAATTTTAGGATTGATTAAAGTGTGACTTCATCAAATGCAAGAAAGCTTACCAAAGTAGCGATGAACAAGCTGAAAACAGATAAACCAATAGGCGACCGTGATAAGCGACCATAGGATAAAAAGAAAGGAACTCCTACACAGCACAGTTAGCTTCATTCTACCGTGAGTTAGAAATGAACCAAAACAACTAAACCATTTTCCAATTCTCACCAACTTTGGTTAGTTAATGATTAATTGGAGATGATATCATTTCGTAGGTAAGCGACACCTGACGAACTGACTGGTTTCAACATAGACATTTACACATATGTGCAGCAGCACTTGGAGTTGCTACTCTTCACTTTGCACACAAATCAAGCGAAGAGAGTAGGGGGAAGTTCAAAAGACATATAACACACAGAAGTATGAGGGAAAAAGAATATTAATATGGAAGGACAGTAGTATTTTGGGTATGTAAATAACAAAGAGTGAATATATATGCGCTAGCCATTGAGAACTGTTTTGAGCCATATCACCAAATGTCTCTCTCCAGCCATTGGTTTTTACAATCTCGAGAACCCCAACAAAGAAGCCTACATTTCCATCGTGACTGGTTTGCTTAAACCAGCTGTTGCGGATTTCATTGATTTATGAAGCTATGTTTCCGTTTGACGACATCCACCAGCTCCTTTCCAACCTGATCCATTCTCTGGCAGCCAATACTGCTCATCGAGAAAGGCGATCGATGGCTAGGTATATCCTAACTATCTCAATCGATATAAGTACACAAGGTCGTCGATTGATTTCCTCACTTTACCTAGCACTCGACGCTAAACTTTACTATCGCTCACCCTATTGTATCATTTCACACGTCAGAGAAAACGCGGGCACCTATGATCAAAGACAGCAAGCCGGCCTTTTCATGTCCTCCACTCTCATTGGCTACGTCTCGCACACAGTCACAAAGGAGAGAGCGGATCGCTGAGCAGTACACACGCCCTCTGGTTGACAGCCTGAGATACAGTAAGTAAGTGATGCGATCAACACACAAAGTTACGAAGAGAGGAAATAATCTGAATTTCAGGGAAGAGGAGTTCGTCAGATATAAAATTAATCAATTAACTTTGGCGGGGAGTGGGATTAATCTTCGCAAGAAAGAATGAAGTGCACCACTGAAAACAACTTCGGAAATTAAAATAGGTAACAATCATATACACAAACAGAAAAAAAAATTTAGAAGACATTACAGCGAAATAATGATTTTTTGAAGACACATGAAATAGAAGCATTCAGATATGAAGAAACGCAGAGTAAATCAATGCAATAAAGAAAAAATGTTTTCACTGTTGACGCTTATGTTTCACAGTTTTCATGGCTTGTTCAAGCATATCTTGCATAAAAGCTATTGGAGAAGATTGCAGAATATTTGGTTGACTAACAATATTGGTATTTCTAGAATCAATGTTAGCCAGATTACGATCCAAAAATTCTAACAGATAAGTATCATCCATGTGAACATTCATTTTTGTACTAATATCATCAAGAGGAATATCAGCAGATCTGAGAGCAGTTTGTTTATCTTCAGACGGAGAATTAGTTGGTTTCGAAGTAACCGTTGATTTCTCCCCATTATTAATCTTCACTACTTGACCATCATCATACCAATTGGTTGTTTCTAGGCCTAAAGGATCGTAAAATATATTCAATACATTTGATTTCAACTGATCAGTATTAGCATCTCCCGTATTTATCTGGAGGACAGAAAAGAAAACGAAATAAAATAGAAGTTGCTTAGGTAAAATTCTCAAAACTCCTAAAATAATTAGAACAAAATCTGGCAAGGTTAATTATATATATAATTTTTCTTATGTGTAGAAGTTTCTGTAGCAGTATGATTGGTCTTCTGCGGCAGGGTAGTAGCTGGCCCTACGCCAAACCCTCCCTCTTTCCTCGGGTTTTGGACAGCATAAAAATCTAGCGAGATAGTAAACTAGGCAACAAAAAACAGCACCAATCACCATCAACGGGAGAAATTTGAAAGAGGTCACCACCTTCACTTACCTACAAAGTATCGTCCCAACTACAGGCGACAGAACAATGTCAACACCACAATCGGAAAGGCAACATACTACCTCATCAATCTGAAGTCCCTTTCCAAACATTCTCCTCTCAACACAAGGAACAAGATTCCGATTTTCAACACCAATGTTAAGTCAGTCAGTCACTTTTTATATATTGGTCAGAAACTTCGTCACCACGTCACGAAAAGCATTTCCAACAGGCTACTGCAGACTTTTATCAACAGCTGCCCTTCCCCTTCGCTGGCTCTATATTGAAGATTAAATGGCCAGCCGGCCAGAAAGAGTTAGCAACAAGGAGCTATGCCAACAAACTAACCAAGAACCTATCATTCAATAGACGTGTAGGAGAAAATGGACATGGATAGGGCATACACCACTGAGGAGACCGTCAAATAAGATTGGAACGCAAGGGAACAATAATAACAATAACTTCTACATGGTTAACATTCTAGTAACAATGATTTCATACTAAATGATAAGTACTCATGCAATACAAACTTCAAAATATTTTCATTTTTTCATACAGAATAAATATTCGCATACTGTTTTCAAGAGTTGATTTGTAAGGATTTGGATTTGTCTTCCAAATTTAACGAAGGACTGATATCAGTTAATCCTTAAAAATCAAGGAGTGAAGGACAGATCTATTCCGTCCCGACATAGGGTCCTTCATCAGTACGCATCCATCGGGTCCCAGTGCCCCAATGGTTTACTAGCTTGCCTTGTAACCAAAATGTTCTCTGGCGTCGAACCCCAGCAGGTGCATACAAACGAGACATTCCAAACTAGGACAAAATAGCTGTCCAGTATTCCCTGGTTTTTCATTGGTTATCTAATTGATGTCAACTCGTGATCCAGCCTACAACAATTCAAGTCGCTGCAAACAAACACTTCAATATATATATATATATATATATATATATATATATATATATATATATATATATATATATATATATAACAAAGTCTGCACTGTAAATAATTTTCAAGTAAACTCCTTACTTTCTTTAGACCGTTTACACCATCTAGGGAAGAGGAAGATGCATCGTTACTTTGTGCTGCCTTATTTTCATTTTCAGATGTATCCGCAGAACGTTTTTCTGAAGACAATCTAGGCTGTTTTCCGTTGGAGGACCCCTTTGATCGCTGTACAAACATACAGGGTGGTGAGTCAGGAGAACAAAAAACAGTCTTTCTTCTTGTATTTAGACTATTAGTAGGCGACAAATTTGTGCACAGAAACGATGCTTGAGTAGCCTAAGAGAAAAAAGTGACAATAAAACAAATGATGGAAATCCAACACCTTAGAAAAGAATATAATTAACTGCAATAATCTATTACAAACGACCTGGTACCCTAGAGGATAGACAGATTTCGGTCTTCCTAATCAAATACTATCATTTGGCCGCAGGTTCATAGCTTCTGTCAATTAAATCTTATTCACTATTTTCATAAGGCGGGAGTGTTTCTCACAGAAGTGAAAGAGAATGTCTGATGCTTACAACCGGATTGGTGAATATTCTGGTCCACCTAGGGCAGGTGGAAAATTTTGATTTCAAACGTATGGTGTGCATTAGTTCCATAATCCTTACGGATCGACTGGTGTATGAGCTTGTTTCAATAACAGGAAATTACGGGAACGCGGTATCTGATGGCAGTCCAATGTTGTGTGGATCAAACAGCTACCTGATTCGCTTTGAGAGACGGGGGCGTATCTCAATCCCTGCACAAACTATGAGGTCTCTTGAGGCCCATCATTTGATCTCAATACACCAAGGTTGTTATTGAAATAAAAAATCAAAATAACTGCAATAAATTTCATATTAATGTTATATATATATAAGGTTGTGAAGAAATGCAAAAGTTATAGAGTTAAGAAAGCAAGCACACAAACATCAAATCAGTGGAAAGCAACACGGTTGTTGACATAACTCTGGTTTTTTAAAATGAATGGCTAAGGCTACAGTAATACTAAAGAGATGAAAGCGTATTGTTTTTGGTAGGTTATTCTCCACTTTATAGATTACCCAGAAGGAGGCGATTGTTGAGATGGAATAACCAGTATTGACAATGTGTTCGACTATCACACCCCTTAAAGAGACACTACTACCTTTTTTGCATCCATTAGGGATAGTGTTCTCTAACCCTTTTAGACATGTTACCCGTCGAACAACCAAAGTGCTTGACACCACAGCAACAGGGGAGCTGATATATGCACAAAGAAATGGTCAGGTGCGAAATCTTGGCCTTTTGGAGATCAAGAGACGACTGCAGAACACTACTCTTAAAGTTGCTGCTGAAATTGTTCTCTTAAAGATATAGCAGGCTAAGTTTCCCTAGAAATCCTACCAATCATTACCGACCTGAAAAGAAACACTGACCTCATTATTCGAAAGACATTATGGATGAGTCTCTTTTCTAAAAAAGCATTTTTTAACGAATATATCTCCCTGTTGAACCTTCTATATGCCATAACTTAAAGTCTATCTTGTAACTAGATTACACCGACATTATTGTTATGAAGGTGACTGAGTCTTAGAACGATGAGTGATGCTTGAATCTTGAAAAGACGAATGAACCAAGAATTTAAGCTATTATTCAGTTTACAATGAAGCCGGAATGGCTTAAACGTATAAAGGAAAAAAAAGCGTGTTAATAGGGGTAGAGATAAGAATATGATTAGCTTCGTATTATAAGAAAAGTTCACAACATTCACTGCCGCTTGAAAAGGAATGAGCCATTAAGTCACGCTTCTCTGGTACGCAAATTGTAAGGCCGTACATGTTGTTGTTTTTCCAAAAGAATACGCCCGTTGTTCGTTTCAGTTGTATTTTCTTCGCGAAGAATATTAGGATCAGTGGTCGCATCCCCATTTACTTGCTGTTCAGGAATTGCGTCGCCCTCCGGTATTGAATTTTCAACTTGATCAATATCTTCGCCTTTGGGTGCCAGATGATAAAGAGCAACTGTATCTTCAAGTCCATTGCCGAAGCGAACGTGAGCAAACTGGGGGGTAACAATTCAACAGCTCCACCTCTTCAACCAGGGGATCGAATTTGGACTGACGAACACTCCGCCGGAGAAGTACTGGTCCTGGTACAGTGAGCCAAGTAGGAAGAGTTGTCCCAGATGTCAATCTTCGGTTATAGGTAAACAGTCGTTCGTGTGGCGTGGCGTTCGTTGCAGAACAGAGCAAAGATCTGATGGAATGCAAGGCGTTGAGTAGAACATACTCCCATTGTGCCGTTGGTAGACCCTGTGATCTTAATGCTAGAGTGATGGCACGCCAAAGTGTTCCATTGAGGCGCTCGACCTGCCCATTGGCTTGAGGATTGTATGAGGTAGTACGACTGGTTGCTACGCCTTTCTCCAGAAGAAATGCTCGTAATTCGGTAGACATGAAAGCAGAGCTTCTATCGGTATGTATGTAAGAAGGCATACCGAAAATCGAAAACAGTTGGCAAAGGCAATTCATTACCGTTTGAGACATGTCGGGGCAGGCGAATGTAAGGGGGAATCGAGAATATTCATCGATCAGCGTGAGCAGATAGTGATTGCGGCTAGCTGACGGTAGAGGTCCTTTAAAGTCGATGTTTAACCTTTCAAAAGGTTGGGTTGCTTTTATGAGTTTGAAATCAGAGGGATTGTAAAAATGAGGCTTTAACTCACAGCATGTCACGCATTTACTGGTTACACTGTGGACCTCGTCAAGGGAGAATGGAAGGTTTCTCGAGCGTACAATGCATCATTCGGACAACTCCAGGATGACACATAGAGTCATGGAGAAATTTTAAGTCGCACACTAACTGCAAGGAACCGCAGAAAGTACAGGAAAATGTATTAGCAGCTTGATTATCCCTTCCAAGACGATAAATGATGTCATATTGATAAGGGGATAGTTCAATTCTCCAACGCATTATTTTATAGTTCTTGATTTTGCCTTTATGAATCTTGTCAAACATGAATGCTACTGAACGTTGATCAGTGACAAGTTTGAAGTGATTTTCGAGAAGGTAACGCTTCCACTTACGAAATGCTTCAACCACGGCATAGGCTTCTTTTTCAACCGATGAATGATGTTTCTCACTTCGGGAGAGGCTTCGAGAAAAGAAGGCGACAGGATTACCATTCTGGTTTAATGTAGCTGCAATTGAGACATCTGAAGCATCTGTTTCAACAACAAGGGGTGCTTTCGGAACAACTACCACAACGACTGCACGTTCTAAGTCGTCTTTCAGTTTGTCAAAAGCATTTCGAGTTTCGATATCAAGAGGGAAAATCCGATTATGTACTAATGGGTGGATTTTATCTGAGAAGCGAGGGATCCACTGTGAATAATAAGCAAATAATCTAACGGCCCGTTGTTGAGATTTGGTATCTGTGGGTGGTTCTAGATCACGAAGAGGTTTTAGCCGATCGGGATCTGGTTTAATAAAACGCTTTGAAACTTCATAACCGAGTAATTTTATGCTTCTGCTTGAGATCACACAGCTGTGCTCACCCTGAAGAAGCTTGGAAAAATATCCAGGCAGCCATAGATACAGCTGTAAAAGCTGTGAATAAGGTAAACCCAAAGGTGAGTAAAAACCACTGGATCTCCACCGCCTCATCCGAACTGATAGATGCTAGAAGACTTATTCCGGCGAGCTCCGAATTCAATGAGGAGCGAAAGCTGCACAAGAGGAAACTTACGAAAAGTCTCCGCAAGGACCGTGAACAGTGGTGGGCGACAAAAGCCAAAGAGATGGAGAAAGCTTCGAGGATAGGCAACACCAGGCAACTCTTTAGACTCATCAGGGAAACGGGTGGGAGAAGACAAATCATCAGTGAGACAATCTCGGAAAAAAATGGCACTATAATTAGCTCCCAGGATAGACGACTGGATCGTTGGAAAGAGCATTATGAGGAGCAGTTTAATTTGCCCACAGCCACGCTCAACCTTCCGAGCATCCAACACCTCCCTGAATGGGATATAGACACAGGTCCTCCATCCCTAACTGAGGTCACCAATCTGAAACTAGGCAAAGCAGCGGGACCTGATGGAATGACTCCAGAGGTATTTAAGTACGGTGGAGACAGCTTACTGTCCGGATTAACTGAGGTACTAGGCAGCGTCTGGGAATCAGAAGAAGTCCCATCGGGTTGGTGTAAGTCACTGATTATCCCCATATACAAGAAGGGAGACAAGTCTTCCTGTGATAATCACAGAGGGATTAGCTTGACTAATATAGTATCTAAAGTCTTAGGCTCAATAATCATGCGTAGACTGAGTGGTGCTCGGGAAGCACAAACACGAGAGAGCCAGGCAGGCTTTAGACCAGGAAGAGGGTGTATTGATCATATCTTCACCCTCCGACAGATTCTAGAACATAGGAATTCCTACCGGCGTCCAACAGTCATTATATTTCTTGACCTAAAGGCAGCATTCGACTCTGTCGATCGAGAAGTTCTCTGGAGATGCTTGGCTGTAAAGGGAATTCCGAGAAAATATATTGCACTGATTAAGGCACTCTACTCGTACTCATACAGCCAGGTGAGGGCTTACGGCGAGCTGTCATCTGAACTGATGACGACCAGTGGTGTCCGTCAAGGATGCCCATTATCTCCTTTTCTATTCAACTTCATCATAGATGTGTTAATGGACTTAACCCTAGGTGACTTCAGCGACTCAGGGATTGACTTGCTACCGGGGAATAATCTCGTTGACTTGGAATATGCAGACGATATAGTCCTTCTAGGCGAAGACGCTGACGAAATGCAGAGTCTTCTAAACACCTTGAGCCGCAATCTACGAATGTTTGGCATGCGATTCGCTCCCGCCAAATGTACAGGACTGGACTACATCGACGCCTAGTTTAAAAATAGGAAGTGAAGTGGTAGAGCACGTTGACCGCTTCACTTATTTGGGAAGTACCATCAGCCCCAACGGGTTGATCTCTGACGAAATCTCAGCACGAATACAAGGGGCTCGTTTCGCATTTGTTAGTTTACGCCGACTCTGGCGTAGACGAGATGTTCGACTATCGACCAAAGGGCGGGTGTACTGCTCATCAGTCCGCTCCGTCCTCCTTTATGGTTGTGAGACCTGGCCACTGAGAGTGGAAGACATGAAAAGACTAGCTGTCTTTGATCATAGGTGCCTGCGTTCTATTTCCCGTGTAAAGTGGCATAATAAGGTGAGCAACATGGAGGTTAGGCGTAGAGTTCTAGGTAAACAGGGGAAATCAATCGACGAAGTCGTGAAGCTACATCGACTGAGATGGTTAGGACATGTGTTACGTATGCCAAGCCATCGCCTCCCTCGACGAGCAATGTTAGCGGATATAGGGTCAGGCTGGAAAAAAGCTAGCGGCGGTCAAACAAAAACTTGGCACCAGTCAATGAAATCCACAACAGTTGGTCTAAGCCACGTAGAAAGGTGTAGACTTCCAGGCTGGGGTCCTCGGGACGGTAAAAATCTATGGTTGGAAACAATTGGTGACATGGCTCAAAACCGTTCTCAGTGGCGCAGATGCATCCACTCCCTGTGACTTATGATCTTCAATGAAACTGTTTTGTATTTCTTTATTACTCCTTTGTCTCACACCTCTGCTCACTGTTTCTATTATGCTTTTTTTGTACTTTCTTCTCTTGCTTCGCGTGCTACACGGAGTGTCGCGACTTGAACTTCCGCACATTTGTGCAAAGTTCTATGTCGAAAACAGACAGACAGACCACACTTTTGGAATCATTAAGGGTTATTCCATAATTGCGTGCTGCTTCCATAAACTTGTTTAGATTTTTGTCGTGTTCCTCCTGAGTTTTGCCGCAGATAGTGACATTGTCAATGTAGGCAAACGTGCTTGTGAGTTGTTCTTTACTGATCAACTCATCGATAATGCGTTGAAAACAAGCTACGCCATTGGTAACACCAAAAGGAATTCGGCAAAATTGGTAAAGTTTCCCACAAGACTCGAAAGCAGTATATGGTTTATCTTCGTTCCTTAGGGCAATTCGATGATAAGCATTCTTCAGATCAAGAGTGCTGAATATGTCATATTGTGCGATTTTTTCTATCATTTCTTCAATCCTAGGTAATGGGTAAGCATCCAGAAAAGTGAATCGATTGATTGTCTGACTATAATCAACTACCATCCTCTTTTTATAGCGTTCGTTTGACGTAACAAGAACTTGAGCTCGCCAAGGAGAATTAGAAGGTTCAATAACATCTTGCAGTAACCGGTTGACTTCGGTGGAAATAAAACTCATCTTTACAAGAATAACGCCGGGATTTTATCGCGATCGGTTTACAGTCTTTTGAAAGATTTTCAAACAGAGTAGGCAGGTCGACGCGAACACAAGGTACACCACAGAGAGAAAAAGGGGGCTTTGATCCCCCAAAAGGAATCTCAATGTGTTTGTAAAGTTTTAAAAAATCATGTCCAAGAAGGACGTCTGCATATAAATTATGAAGAATGGAAAATTTGAATAGATCATAAGTATGGTTTTTATAGCAGACGGATAGAAAACAATGTCCTTCAGTATGACTAGTAAGATTCGTACTTGCCATTGTGATTCTATTTCGAGACTTATGGACTTTCCATTTACACTTACGAACAACTGAGGAAGAGATGTAGCTCTCACTGCTTCCGGTATCCACTAGAGCTTGCATTGATTTCCCATTGACAGTAAGCTGCGTAACAGTATCAGTGAGACTTTGAGGTGCTGAAGCCACAACGAGAGATGAAATTATAGAGTTAACTGAAGATGGATTTTGTTTCGTAAATTGCACAGACCTGCAAACCTTCTGAAAATGTCCTTGCTTGCCACACTACTCTTGTTAGTTATCATATGAAAATATACTACTTTCAGATTCTAGTTGAACTTCGTTAAGTGCTCCAAAACGTAAATACCGCAAAATATGAAATTAACTTTTCTTTTTCTCTGCACATGCAGATTGATTTAATTATAAATATATGAGTTCAAAGTTAGGAACGAATGTGATACAATTCACGCACAGAGAAAGGGAATTCAATTATTCAGATAAAAACAAAAGTTTATCGCCTAAACAACAAACAAATATATCCATGCCTGAGCAAGAAGTGAGGCAATCCTTGGACTATAAACTTCGTTAGGCATCCAAAGAACTGGACATATGACATGCTGTTTGTAAGTAACACATAGGGACAACGAGCAACACGTCTGTAATACGGACAAAATATTTCCCCTTAGAATAGAAAGATAGAAAACCAAATGACGACTAAAGGCATATAGCACAAAAAATCTGTCTGAGAAAACGGAGGTGGATAGGCCACAGGCTGAGGATACGGTTGAGTAGAGTCATGCACAAGGCCGTCGAGTAAAATCTGAATAAAAAACGACGACTTCGGCATGTGTCTGAGAGTGACATGCAAGAGATCGTATGAGGGAGTGATAAAAAGCATGTGGACAATCATACAGTCAGTTAAAGAAGAGTACGAGTAACAGAACAATGTGGAGATACGCTGTTGAAGCCATATGCTCCACTATGAACCCAAAGAAACAACTATAATAATGATAGACATTTACAGAACATCCCAGTGAACAGACCTATATTCAAAGATAAACACAATTCTGAGAAAATAATACATGAGAAAGTGATGAAACTTACTTCATTCCACTGGGAATCATTCCTGTAAAAAAATGTTACAAACAGCATAAACACATAATTATTATTTTACCAAAAGAACACATTTTAAAATATCTACTAATCAACTTTAAACAGATGAATATATAAATCAGACTCTGTGCATAAACGCATTTAATGAATGAAATCGTCCACAGGATGCTTATTTTAAAACGCAGCTTGAAGACAAAACGTTTTTTTAAAATTTTATCATAGACGGAGAATACACAGACCTAAAAATATCTTTCTGTGGTCCCTAAATCCAGAATTCATGAAAAAAGTGAGGTATCAAGACGGGAAAGTTTCTATGCTAACTTTGTTGAACGGTTTTGATTCGTTTCAATATGGCTTAATTTCCCGAGGAACACCTGTGTTATACATCCAGTCAGATATGTGACTTTAATTCCTGAGGCTTTGTAAACATAATACACTATTTTGCGGATGATTTATGTTTAATGTCACAAACTTGAAAACTTGCAGGCGAAAACTAACGAACTGCCTAAAAAAGAAACCAATAAAAACGGGACTCCAGGCGAACACAGAGAAGATGAAGGTCATGAAGATGACCAACCCAAAGCAATAACGAACAGCACCAATCACCATCAACGGGAGAAATTTGAAAGAGGTCACCTCCTTCACTTACCTACAAAGTATCGTCCCAACTACAGGCGACAGAACAATGTCAACACCACAATCGGAAAGGCAACATACTACCTCATCAATCTGAAGTCCCTTTCCAAACATTCTCCTCTCAACACAAGGAACAAGATTCCGATTTTCAACACCAATGTTAAGTCAGTCAGTCACTTCTTATATATTGGTCAGAAACTTCGTCACCACGTCACGAAAAGCATTTCCAACAGGCTACTGCAGACTTTTATCAACAGCTGCCCTTCCCCTTCGCTGGCTCTATATTGAAGATTAAATGGCCAGCCGGCCAGAAAGAGTTAGCAACAAGGAGCTATGCCGACAAACTAACCAAGAACCTATCATTCAATAGACGTGTAGGAGAAAATGGACATAGACAGGGCACACACCACTGAGGAGACCATCGAATGACATTGCGCGCTAGGCCACCGCTCCAGTGGAACCCGAATGGGAAGGGATAAGTGCGTTGTCCGAGGGTGACATGAGGAGATTGTGCGAGGAAGAGATGAGAGATTATGGGCAATTGTAGGTCCACCTAAAGAGGACTACATAGCGTATATTAAAGTGGAGACGTGCTGTTGAAGCTAAATTTTGCACTTGGAACCCAAGGGGACAATAATAATAATATATCTTCTCTAATAAAATTGTCGTTCCGGTTGTTGTTTTTTCCAGTGCGAATTTTGTGTTTATCTCATTTAGGGGGATAATTTCAGCTGATCATTGTGTCGTGTTGTGGAAGTGTCACTCTGTGATGACGAAATACTGTTCCCGCTCAAAAGCCTATCCTAACGGCAAAGTAAAAACAATACCTAACACGAAGAAGTGCGATACTTTCTTCCCTGGCTTCATGGAAAACTCCCATTACAATGAACCACCCAAAAGACTTTTCCCACTAAAATGTATTATCAAGATGTACAATAGAATGTATATAATGTTTTTTCAAATAACGTGGATTGTGACGTAACATTTATGATTACAATGGCAGTTAAGGACCACACAACAAAAAACTAATTTAATATGACTTTTTCCAATGTTGTCTTATCATACTTCTCACAGTGTTGTGAAATGTTTCAGCTACCTAATAATTCTATTAATTATATACCCCCAGTCACGATCTATGAATTTAATAAACTAATTGCACAGAATTGCAGAAAATATTTTGCCGCGATTTACATTAATTTGCGTATAATCACACATACATGCGATTGTACAGCTTGATAATACATTCGTCGAAAGTGCATTTTTTTCTGAGTCACTTATTTCGATTTTTCATAAATGCTTTTAAGAATGGATGAATTATTCGACTAGTCTGAACTATTGTGCGGTAAATAAAAAGCCGATGTGGCTCACCAGGTCCGTTTCCAAGTCACTAAGTCACGAGCCCAATTCCCACCCCACCTTTTACAACCTTGGCAGCTGAATATTATGATCAGCGTTAACACTATGAGCGTGGCTTTCAGAGCCAGGTACACTAAAAATCTATTCCAGGTTAAATAAATACAATAAACTCATACCAACGGTTCGACAAAGATGGAATTATAGTTAAGAGAAGTAAAAAAAAATGTTCACTTCGCGTTCCGAGTAAAACATCAGGCGTTAAAGTTGAGCTTTAAAGTCCCATTAAAAGTAGTATTGTTTTGGCAGGGTGAAGTTGATAGCCTGACACCTAATCTTCTCTCCCTAGAGGGTTCACTAACCAGCCAAGTGAGGTTTTTAGGAGTGGATCGGCTAGGTTGGTGGTGGGCACTTATAAAGTGAGACCCATGACGCATTCCCCTTGTTTCCCTAAAATATTTGAGGATGAGGTTGTCCTGAAGAGGCATTAGAAACTTAATCAGCAATATTTTATTATTTTACAGTCAGAGCCTCAATAGATTTAGAAGTCAAATTAATAAACAGCATCAGCATATGAAGTCATAGACTGTTGATCAGGGTAGTGTATAGTGTGGTACTGACCATCTGAATGCAGTCTTCGAGATTTTAAGAATGTTGTTTGAGTCTCTTTGTAACATGGCTGAAAGTTATTCATGAATACATAAATGTATAGACTGACTGTCAACTTGCATATTTCAACAATCTTAGCCAATCTTCATCTAAGTATTCTGTTCGTGACATGTATTTTTTATCGACTGCACTACCAGATGATGCACTTCTATGCAAAGCTATGTGCTTATATACCACTGTCATTTAAAAAAACAAGACATTAGTCTATGAGCAGCAAACCTATTTTATATAATATTCTAGATAGAAAATCATAGTGAATTTATGAACAACAAAAGAACATGAAACCTACAGACCTTTGGAAAACAGTGAGTGAAGCTGACAAATATAAATTCATTTGAGGCAGGTAACATTTTAATATGTACAGTACACCTCCTCAACTCACCCCGCCTTTCTATCAGTCACTTTGAAAGCAAGAAATAAACTCAACTTACACAAGTTTTGTATTCGCGAAACTTAACTGCGTCTTATCAAACATACGATTAATCCGTCCGTCTATATCAAGTGGAGTGTTGAAAGCCATAGAATCCTAAATTACATGTAACACAAAATATGATGTAACAGTCAGGCGTTAGGGATATTCTACACTATATAAACACTAAAACAAAAGCTAACTATGAAACTAGAAACGGTAAAACCATTGGTTCTATCATACTCACATGAAAAGAATACTGATTTAATTCATTAAAAAAACTCTCTTCATATGTCATTTATGGCGTTAATCTTCAAGTACTGATTGCTGGATAAAAATGATCTTCGCTTTGTTCGAACTACCTTTTATCAAAAAACCACATCTTGTCATTTTTGGACAGCTGTTGAAGGCGATAGGTAGAAAGCCTCGGACCCAGATTTCGTGCTTTCGGACACTCGTCAGCAAGACATATCTACACTCTTGAGAGAACTCATGTCCGTACAGAGATTCGGGGATGCATCACCCAGTGCTGTGATCAGAGCTGCTCATGCTATCGATTGTCCTCCAGTATGACTACACCCGTGCATCTGCGCCTTGCTGGAGAACGCTAACAACCACGAAACCTAGGTCCAAGACTGCATACCGATTGCCTTCAACTATTAGGTATCAATAATTTAAAGTGCACCGCGATGGCGAGCCACCTGACACGCTTTTGGTCACAATCTACACCAAACAAAGGACTGGACACACTACACTAGTCACTAACTAGTTTCCAATCAAAAGTACTCAGTACAGTCCTACAGGAGGTAATTCACGAATCCGAATAGCTCACTGGTAACGTTTCTAACTGCAGCACTGAGTGACGCGGGTATGAATCTCAGAAGGGACATGAGTCCCATCAAGATCGCAGATATACCTTGCTTACGAGTGCCAACTAGCACGAAACCTAGGTCCAAGGCTTACTGCCGATTGCCTCAAAGCACCTAACATAAACACTAAGATTACCTATATTACCCATTCTTAATCAGAAATGCCCACAAACACAAACCATAAAAGCTCAATCGATGACTTCTCTAAGCGCGAAGCACCTAGTACAGTAACGTTAAGCACAATAACCAAAGAAGTTATTTAGTCACACATTATTCCAATAATTGAAAATTGGCCTGCGACAATCTAATTCAGCTGGACATAAATGTTAAAAATTAAAACGATAAAAAGAGAAAACAATCAAAACAACATTCTCTACATTATCTGAAGATACACTGACAAGTACTCACAACTTTATTCAACATAGTATCGCCCGCTTCAGGGGTCCTCCCACATTTCAGAATAGTTTCAAATCCAGGAAGTGTACGATTAGCTTTAATTTTTATCGGTTCTAAATCATCATTGTTCGGAGTATGCTGACCAACTTCCATGATTTCCGCATCATTCGGTTTCTTAACTTCGACAACAGGGTTTGAACAAGGCTCAACTGTTTCAATAATTCTAAATAAGAAATAAGGAAGTAAAATACATGAAAGAGATCGCAATAATATTGTCAAATCAGATGTTCGCTAGAGGAACTGAATCATGTAGTGCATATGATACACAACCTGACCTAGATTACTAGCTCGCTAGTTTTCTTGCCGGTCCCAAGACGGATAGAGAGGGAGGGTTGGGTCGTGGTGCTAGCAACTCCACCCCCGTAAAACAACCAAATCGCTACAGAAAAATCAATGCGCAAATATATTAAAAATTCTAAAAATATAAACAATAGCCTTATTTTTCGCTGGAATCGGGGAAGTGAAATGACGCAGGCTGGTAAAGCCTTCGGGAAGCCAGTCAGCCGATGTGCCTTCTTTCGATGAAAGCAAAAGTAAGGATGGGTACCTGGAATGTTCGTACAATGTACGAAACTGGAAAGGCTGCCCAGATAGCCGCTGAAATGAGAAGGTACAGAATAGAAGTGTTGGGAATCTGCGAAAGCAGATGGAACGGAACTGGAAGGTGCCAACTACCAACTGGAGAGACAATAATCTATTCCGGCCACCAGAGGACAACCACGAGCACACCGAGGGAGTGGCCATCATGATGTCACCAACAGCAGCCAAAGCTCTCATGCAGTGGGAACCAATCTCCTCCAGGATAATGACAGCCAGGTTCAACTCAAAAGGAAGGAAAGTTACAGTCATTCAATGCTATGCGCCTACAAACGTCTCAGAACAAGAGAAGAAGGAGGCGTTCTACAGACAACTACAAGCAATAATGGACAACGTCCCAAATGGCGATATCAAAATCCTGATGGGCGACATGAATGCGAAGCTGGGAGGAGACAACACAGGAAGAGAACTCACCATGGGTCGAAGGCCCTCGGTGAAATGAACGACAATGGTGAACTCTTCTCAGACTTCTGCGCCTTCAATGATTTGGTGATTGGTGGCAGTGTTTTCAAACACAAGGATATACACAAGACGACATGGATTTCACCAGATGGAAACACCAGAAACCAATTTCAAGAAAGTGGAGACGGAGCCTACTGGACACAAGGTCAAGGAGAGGAGCAGATGTGGGTTCAGACCACTATCTAGTACAAGGGACTTTCAAGGTGAAGGTAAAAGCCTCGAGGATAGCTGGGAATAGGCCACAATGCAAGTTCAACACTCAGAAACTGAAGGACACAACCACAAAAGACACTTTCACTGCAACTGTCAGAGCAAAGCAGGAAACACTACGCGACATCACTGAAGAATCATGCGTGGAAGAACATTGGAAGTCTCTGAAGGCGATTCTCAACGAAACGTGTTCAACGGTTTTAGGAAGAAAGAAGAGACAAGACAAGGAATGGCTCTCAACGGACACTTGGAAATTAATAGAAGAGAGGAGAATGGTGAAAGAGAAAATGATTCAATGCAAGGACGGACAGGAGGAGACGCTGAGCTCAACTTACACAGCACTGGACAAAGAAGTGAAGAAGAGTGCTAGGAAGGACAAAAGACGATTCTACGACAACCTCGCCACTGAAGCTGAGAAGGCAGCAGGCAAAAGGGACCTGAGGACACTATATCAGATAACCAAATCTCTATCCGGGAAGAGATCAACACAAGCGAAACCTATAAAAGACAGCCAAGGGAACCCAATTACCAAGGAAGAAAAACAGATTAAACAATGGGCGGATCACTTCAAAGGACTCTTGAACCGACCACCACCTGCAACCCGTCCAGAAATACCAACAACAGCGCGCACACAACTGCAAGTTGACACCAATCCTCCAACGAGAGCTGAAGTCTTGAATGCAATCAAGCTTCTGAAAGCTGGAAAAGCAGCTGGACCAGATGGAATACCCCCTGAAGCACTGAAAGCGGACCCAGAGACTACAGCAGACATGCTGACTCCATTATTGCAAAAGGTCTGGAAGGAGGGAAAGGTGCCTACTGACTGGAGGAAAGGTTACCTCGTGAAACTACCAAAGAAGGGCGACTTAGGCCACACTCTGCAAGAACTGGCGAGGAATCATGCTCCTATCGACGCCAAGTAAAATCCTGAGTCGCATCATCCTGGAGAGATTAAAGGACGCACTGGAGACAGAACTCCGACCAGAACAAGCTGGATTCAGGAAAGGCAAATCATGTACTGACCAAATTGCAACTCTACGCATCATCATCGAACAAAGCATGGAATGGCGATCAAACCTCTACCTCAACTTTATAGACTTTGAGAAGGCCTTCGACAGACAGCGTTGACCGTGAAGTAATTTGGAAACTACTCGAGTACTACGGCGTACCCCAAATATTCATCAACCTTATTCAACAGCTGTACGACAACGGAACATGTCAAGTGATCCACAACGGAAAACTCAGCGAGGCGTTTGGAGTAAACACAGGAGTCAGACAAGGGTGCTGGCTTATTATCACCAATGATATTCCTAATTGTGGTGGACTGACTGGATTATGCGTCAGACAGTGGGAAACGAGAAGACAGGAATATCCTGGACCGACCGACTTGAAGACCTGGATTTTGCGCGTGGATGATTCATGTTTGATGTCACACAAAATCGAAGACTTACAAGCGAAAACCGACCGACAAACTGGTCGAAGAAGCAGCAAAGACAGGACACCAAGTGAACATAGACAAGACGGAGGTGATGAAAATAAACAACCAATAACAACAGCAGCAGCAACATCCAGCGCCAATCACGATCAACGGGAGGGATTTGAAAAAGGTCACTTCATTCGCTTATCTAGAGAGCATTGTCTCAACTACAGGCAGTCGGAACGGATGAGGATGTCAAATCGAGCGAGAATCGGGAAGGCGAGAAACACATTCATCAACCTGAAATCAATCTGGAAATCTTCGTCACTCAGCTAACATCAACAACAAAATCCAGTCGGATTTTCAATACAAACGTCAGGTTAGTTCTTCTATACGGATCAGAAACTTGGGGGGGGCGGGTCACAAAAGATATTTCCAACAGTCTGTTGCAGACCTTTATTAACGACTGTCTTCACTCTATACTGAAGATCAGATGGCCGGAAAAAATCACTAACAGTAAACTACGGGAACAAACAAAACAAGAACCAATCGCCAACCAACAAATATGCAGGAGAAAGTGGAGATGGGTTGGACACTCGCTGAGGAGACCGCTGGGTGACATCGCGCGTCATGCCCTCGAGTGGAACCCGAAAGAGGAGCGGCGTGTGGGACGTCAGTGCAATGGTGACATAGAGGAGATCGTGTGAAGAGGGTTTGAAGTATGGACTAACATGGATACAGGTGAAAAGTACAGCAGAGGACAGAAGCAATTGGAGACGTGCAGTTGAAGCCCTATGTTCCACTAGGAACCCAAGGGAGCAATAATAATAATATAATAATAATGATATGATACACTGTTACATCTCTCTGAGGACAACTAAACGCTTACCATTCTATATCTTGAACACATATTTGCCCATGTCACAGACTAGTATTCACATTTGTTGAAGTATGCATCAAAATTATCTTTACAGTGTAAAAGTAAAAGACAGGATGAGAATACAAAAAGTTCCTAACCATGACATGAGCGAACTGCATAAAGAAACCTACACCCTAGTGCACCCAGGGGTAAGTACACTACGGTCCTTGCCTCCGAAACCTTTCATAAGATAACACGCACAATGCCTTTGTCAGATAAGTCCTGTTCACTGCTCTCACACTCAATGGTTGTTGTTACAAATGCAAAACGACAAGTGCGAATGTTTAATGAACATGACCAGACTGATGAAAATGATGAGCTCACATAGTATAGATGGAAAGCCGTGTTTCTAAAATACTGATGTGCATAGGCTTTTAGATCCCCAGACTCCGAGTGACATATGATTCTGTTTCGGGCACCAGTAACTATTGGAACATGGTTCTTATCACCTTATGTGTCATACGTCTAGACACACTTAAGGCTCAATCTCTGAAAACAAATCAGGATAAATACTGGACTAGTACGACTAATACTTAGCACACTTTGTCAGTGCTTTGTAAAGATAACAATAAATATATATAGTGGTGTGTTGACCTTCAAAAACACTGGAAGTCAGTCAACCAGTAATAGATCTGCCATCTAATGATAACTACTGGAACTGCAACACAAGCAATGTACATTCTGTACGAAGCTGTTGTGTGTAGCCTGAGACTGGACCAGTGATCACTTTGCGCTTGCAATAAGCACCTTACATTTTATCATCCCCTACAAGTTGAACTCTCATTCTTTATTCATGCAGTGTGTCGACTGTAAGCAAATAGAAAACAATCTCTGAAATATGTGACCCAACTTTTTAAATGGCTTTCTGGACGCCACCAACAACTAGTCATTTCTAACGAGTCTCGTAAACTTTTTTTCCGAGATACACTAAAATTTTGTGAAACTAACAATGACTGCCACAAAGTGATACCAGCCAGAAGAACCGTTGGGGACTAAGTAGTATTGGGAAGCTTTTTCTCACCTTAGTTCGGGAAGTTTTGAATTTCTGCTCATCCCTTTCAACTTCATTCAATTGCTCGTATGGTGCCTTTGCCATCCCATGTTGCTCAAGGTCAACATAAAATTGCGGTTTGTAAACTTGATATTATCATACACTGTTTTACATACAATGTTTTAGGTAACGCTGTGTTGCCTGAGATGAATGTTGTTTAAGCTCAGTTGCCCGGAAAACACTCATCGTGTAACAGGGCTAAGAGCCACACTTATCGGGTGACGGCGGGTAATACTACCCAGTTACCAGAGCTGAAGTATTCGGAACACGAATCGAACCCAAGACCCATCTACTGAAAACCGAAGGCTTAAGCCAATGAACCACAACCCCACTTTCGAGGTGGATGCTTCATCAATTGAGCTTACATTTGATTTTGGAAAATATCTTCAGCGAAAATGCAATGTGAAGAACACAGATACATCTTGTCCAGAAGGACAATTAGAGCTTCACAATTAAACCGTTCACAGTTAAGATAACACAAAACGCCAAAAACATCCACCTAATTTAGAACTCTTCTCTTCTACTTCAAAACACCGCATACGTTTTTTCAGTGTCTAGTCCTTATTAGAATAGCCCCACAAAATACATCTGAACACCAGGTTATTTATCATGATGAACTACAAAGCTTTAAAGTGAATTTATACGTAACCTATGGTGACATCAAATAATGCTACGAAAGATGATCAATAAAGTGAGAACTTACTTTAAACCCTTTTTTAGTGATGTAGCAGGTTCCGGAGATTGTGAACCATGCGCCATATTAACGAAATCCCTCTACGTATAAGTGAATTAATAATCTGAATACCTCTTGAAAGCGCCATTTATCTCTGATCCATGATTCGGCGCTTTGAAGTGCAGATGGAAATGCATCCAGTGTTCCAGGTGGAGCGACTAATTGCAATGATAAAGTGAAATTAAACTAACCTTTCTTAACATAAGAAACCATATGGATCATCTCCAATGTTAACTCCGGCTGACCATCTGGATACAGATCCGCGAGGAGTCGATCGAAATTGTAATCCGACTTGTGACGAGACTGCCATGCAGCAGCTCGTACCATTTCGAAGTTTTGTTCACCATCTGGACCAGTGAGTATCTATATCATGAACTGATTGGTGTGCAAACTTACAGAAATTGGAAATGAAAATATTTCGTTATCCGAAATCATCTAAAAGTGGGTAACAGCAACAGTTTCATGTTAATTTATTATATCCATCCAATTATAATTATGACACACTACAACAAGTCATTCGGAAAAGTGATAGCTTACAGGCAACTTTCAAGGATACACAAAGGTATTAGGCGAAAATACTTGGCTTCTACATATTCATTCAAACCCCATAAAAATCAATCTCATGGCTACAAAGACTTCGTAGCACAAGAATATAAATATCGTTTGCTGAAGTTAGAGACGAAATGATGCCAGCTGGTGAAAGCCTTCCAGAAATCAGTCGGCCAACGTCTTCTTACGATGATGAAAAGAATAAGCGTGGGATCACAGAATATTCGCGCTATGTCTTGAGCTTGCAAAGCGTCTCACATTGCAAGAGGAATGTAAAGTTGTAAAGAAGTGCAGAGAATCTGTGACAGTAGATGGTGAGGGTCGGACTTCCCTAATTGTTAACTGGAGAATCAATAATCTACTCCGGTAACCCAAACAACAATCACGCGGACACTGACGGTGTCGGTATCATGATTTCAGCAACATAATCGAAGGCTCTTATGCAGTGGAAACCAACTTCCTGTGAGATAATAACGGAGAAATTCAGCTTAATTACACTTACAACTACACCCCTATATACAAAGCAGATCCACCGGAGAAGAAGACTTCCACAGACGACTGCAAACAGTAATGGATCAAAATTCGACCAGGGTGTGACATCAAAATTGTAATGGGTGATTTGAATCCAAGTCCAATCGAAATCAGACAACGGACACTTAGTGAAATGAATAAGAATGGGGAACTCTTCGCAGACTTCTGCTCTTTCAATGATTTGATGTTTGGGAGCAGCTTGTACAGGACTAAGGATATAAGTTTCACCAAATGGACACGCCAAAAACGAGATGAAATCATTCGCAATCTCAAGAAATCGGAGGTAGCCGAAATGATACAAAAATTGAGATGAGGAGCAGATATATGCTGGGACCACTAACTGGACTGCAAAATGGCTGAGAATGGACTACAACTCAGGTCCAGCACCCAGAAAGTGAAGGACTAAACTTTGAATGACAGCACTACAGTTGACAAGGGAACTCGGAGACATGCAATAACACCGGAAATCCCTGAAAGTGAAATTGAAGGAAACCCATAAGATCGTTTTAGAAAGAAATAAAAGGCCCATAACGCCATCAAATAGGGTTCGGAAGGACGCAAATGCATCTGGCAACTGGAAGATGAAATTATGAAGTTACATTAATTGAGATGGTTCGAACATGTGTTACGCATGCCCAGCTGTCGCCTTCCTAGACGGGTTGTGTCAGCTGATATAGGATGGATCAGGTTCGAAAAGAGCCAGGGGTGGCCAAACCAAAACATAGCTTCATCAATTAATGAAGTCCATAGCAGCCAGTTTAAGTCAGATACGTGGGAAGGTGTAGACTTCCTGACAGGTTGGCGTCCTAAAAGCAGTGTGACAAACCTGCCGCCAAAACCAATCCGGCTGTAGAGATGAGTGATTTAAATAAACATAAACAAATGGAGATAGAGTAATTTCAAATTCAGTCACCTATAACTCGCGCTGAATTGGTAACCGGTTAAGATCTTCGTGAGCATCTAATTCTTTCACTGGTATTCAATCGTCTAGTTATCGTTCGGTAGTGACAGCTGCGCAGAAATCACTGACGTCTACATGATTTCTCCCTTTGACTGATGATTGCTGTTGTTAGTTAGCTGTAATCATCACCTCTGTCCCCCATAAATTAACTGGAAGTTCTACTGTAGCACCACTATACTAATCCTAACTGTACGCCTATAAAACAAACTCGTGTACACATGATATAAGCTCACAGAAACTAATTTTACTTATGCTTGTTGAATATCTGCGATAAAGAATAATAATATATTATATATATAATAATTATTATTATGTTTCGTATAAACAGGTAAGTTTACAAGAAATACATGCCATTTTCACAGGCAAAATCAGTTATGTTATAAAATACAATCCTGAAGTATCATAAATTAATACTTTTTCAAAAGTTCCAATTGTTCGATTATTGTGCAAGCAATTAGAACAGGTTCTTACAAATGTTAAATCGTAAACCGTTTATTAATGTCACCATCTAAATTGAGCGACAACCCAAACTTCGTTTTGTATCCTGCTGATAGTTATGGTCAACCAGTGAACAGCGTACATCTGGGTGAGTGTTATGTTGCCAGGTGATTTAACGCTATTTCAGGAACAGAAAAAAATTCTGCGCATCTGCTAAATTGTATAAAATGCAATTATGAATAATACATTACTGGAAGTACATTTAGAGGATATATACAAGAAGAAGAAGCTATACAGTACTTGAAATGACAGTAAAAATTTGCAATCTTTAATGCCAACCATCTTGGTCTAAGCATGGAAAATATGAAGTTACCGATGAAGACATAGTTTTGTCGAAACATTGGTGTTGCTATGTTTGTAATCAAAGCAACCGGACTTTGGGCGAACAACAAATATGAACACAGACAAAGTTTTAGCTCCAATAGCGACCTAGGAAGAAGTGATCAGGTAGAGAGCGTTGGCGCGTAGGTAAAAACATACTTGGGAGGAAGGTAAGCGATATTCAAATGAGGTGTCAATGCAGCTGAAAATTGAACGATCAATTCATGGTTGTTTGCTCAAAACCAACTTCCCCAATTTTCGCGGAGGCATCAATACACCAGTCATCGTCTGATTGGTCGCTTTTCAGAAAGAAGTCAGACCAAAACTGTCAGAAGTAATATTGTGATTTATTATTGTAATATTTGTTCATAGGCCTTAGTTTTAAAGCTTAGTTGTACAGTCGGCTATACGTTGGTGTTGCAATAAAGAATTCTCGAGTGGCCAATCGGTGTTTTGGTTTTTGCGTCCGTTATTACTAAGCGTTTCTGAGAAACTTCAAGGAACAGAGTGAGCCCGAGTGCGGCAAGAGCTGGGCATTGACGGTTTACGAGACGGGGCTGACATGAAGAGTGAATTCAAATATCCGGAAAATTAGAATTCGTAGGACAACCTGGCCTGTAAGACGCCCAACAGATAGCATCTTGACAAGAAACTGAACAGTCTTTTAGAAGGTAGTAGCAGAAGCACTTTTTTATTTATAAGTTGGATCTGTACAACTTTTATTTTTTTGTTGAGGGTCCAGACTAATGTTGGATTCTCGAGCTGCCAAGAAATGCATGTTGCTGTCCTATAGATTTGAACAATTCACATTTGTGACCATTACCATATCTGATGATCGGCACGCGCCAACCTCCCTCCTTTTTGACGTTAAGCTCTGAGATCCTTTGCAATAACTGTAGTTGCAGCATTGCGTCACTTTGAGACCGTCCGAATCTTACAGTATGCTGTGCATTAATAGCTTTCATGACAAGTGCTTCCCAGTAGGTCACCAGTTACTTCGATACCTCAGGATATTCTTAGCAGTGTCACCTATATGCATGCACACATGTATACAAGTATTTTTGTAAACGCCTAGGGAATTGCGTTTTATTTAAGAAGTAAAAGGTGTAGAAGTAGCCAGTATTACAGCAACTAAGTTATGGTCGATTTAGCGGGTAGTGGAACAATTAGTGATAAAGTTATGTAGAATGATCCTGAAGAAAACAGCGGGTTAACAGTGCTAGTTATCCTCAAGTTTCATGACCGATTTTCATGCGGTACGCATCAGACATTGCAAAGTAACCCTTCAACTTATATAATGATAAAAATACTGCTAAATACCATAACGATTATACGTTTTAGAAAAGTATATGAGAAAATGTGGTTATTGACTGAGTAAGATCATTTCCATCCAAAAGTAGCATTGTATGATTAATTGTATAGACATATGTCAATGTAGTTGAAGATTGAACGATCAATTCATGGTTGTTTGCTCAAAACCAACTTCCCCAATTTTCGCGGAGGCATCAATACACCAGTCATCGTCTGATTGGTCGCTGTTCAGAAAGAAGTCAGACCAAAACTGTCAGAAGTAATATTGTGATTTATTATTGTAATATTTGTTCATAGGCCTTAGTTTTAAAGCTTAGTTGTACAGTTGGCTATACGTTGGTGTTGCAATAAAGAATTCTCGAGTGGCCAATCGGTGTTTTGGTTTTTGCGTCCGTTATTACTAAGCGTTTCTGAGAAACTTCAAGGAACAGCGTGAGCCCGAGTGCGGCAAGAGCTGGGCATTGACGGTTTACGAGACGGGGCTGACATGAAGAGTGAATTCAAATATCCGGAAAATTAGAATTCGTAGGACAACCTGGCCTGTAAGACGCCCAACAGATAGCATCTTGACAAGAAACTGAACAGTCTTTTAGAAGGTAGTAGCAGAAGCACTTTTTTATTTATAAGTTGGATCTGTACAACTTTTATTTTTTTGTTGAGGGTCCAGACTAATGTTGGATTCTCGAGCTGCCAAGAAATGCATGTTGCTGTCCTATAGATTTGAACAATTCACATTTGTGACCATTACCATATCTGATGATCGGCACGCGCCAACCTCCCTCCTTTTTGACGTTAAGCTCTGAGATCCTTTGCAATAACTGTAGTTGCAGCATTGCGTCACTTTGAGACCGTCCGAATCTTACAGTATGCTGTGCATTAATAGCTTTCATGACAAGTGCTTCCCAGTAGGTCACCAGTTACTTCGATACCTCAGGATATTCTTAGCAGTGTCACCTATATGCATGCACACATGTATACAAGTATTTTTGTAAACGCCTAGGGAATTGCGTTTTATTTAAGAAGTAAAAGGTGTAGAAGTAGCCAGTATTACAGCAACTAAGTTATGGTCGATTTAGCGGGTAGTGGAACAATTAGTGATAAAGTTATGTAGAATGATCCTGAAGAAAACAGCGGGTTAACAGTGCTAGTTATCCTCAAGTTTCATGACCGATTTTCATGCGGTACGCATCAGACATTGCAAAGTAACCCTTCAACTTATATAATGATAAAAATACTGCTAAATACCATAACGATTATACGTTTTAGAAAAGTATATGAGAAAATGTGGTTATTGACTGAGTAAGATCATTTCCATCCAAAAGTAGCATTGTATGATTAATTGTATAGACATATGTCAATGTAGTTGAAGATTGAACGATCAATTCATGGTTGTTTGCTCAAAACCAACTTCCCCAATTTTCGCGGAGGCATCAATACACCAGTCATCGTCTGATTGGTCGCTGTTCAGAAAGAAGTCAGACCAAAACTGTCAGAAGTAATATTGTGATTTATTATTGTAATATTTGTTCATAGGCCTTAGTTTTAAAGCTTAGTTGTACAGTCGGCTATACGTTGGTGTTGCAATAAAGAGTTCTCGAGTGGCCAATCGGTGTTTTGGTTTTTGCGTCCGTTATTACTAAGCGTTTCTGAGAAACTTCAAGGAACAGAGTGAGCCCGAGTGCGGCAAGAGCTGGGCATTGACGGTTTACGAGACGGGGCTGACATGAAGAGTGAATTCAAATATCCGGAAAATTAGAATTCGTAGGACAACCTGGCCTGTAAGACGCCCAACAGATAGCATCTTGACAAGAAACTGAACAGTCTTTTAGAAGGTAGTAGCAGAAGCACTTTTTTATTTATAAGTTGGATCTGTACAACTTTTATTTTTTTGTTGAGGGTCCAGACTAATGTTGGATTCTCGAGCTGCCAAGAAATGCATGTTGCTGTCCTATAGATTTGAACAATTCACATTTGTGACCATTACCATATCTGATGATCGGCACGCGCCAACCTCCCTCCTTTTTGACGTTAAGCTCTGAGATCCTTTGCAATAACTGTAGTTGCAGCATTGCGTCACTTTGAGACCGTCCGAATCTTACAGTATGCTGTGCATTAATAGCTTTCATGACAAGTGCTTCCCAGTAGGTCACCAGTTACTTCGATACCTCAGGATATTCTTAGCAGTGTCACCTATATGCATGCACACATGTATACAAGTATTTTTGTAAACGCCTAGGGAATTGCGTTTTATTTAAGAAGTAAAAGGTGTAGAAGTAGCCAGTATTACAGCAACTAAGTTATGGTCGATTTAGCGGGTAGTGGAACAATTAGTGATAAAGTTATGTAGAATGATCCTGAAGAAAACAGCGGGTTAACAGTGCTAGTTATCCTCAAGTTTCATGGCCGATTTTCATGCGGTACGCATCAGACATTGCAAAGTAACCCTTCAACTTATATAATGATAAAAATACTGCTAAATACCATAACGATTATACGTTTTAGAAAAGTATATGAGAAAATGTGGTTATTGACTGAGTAAGATCATTTCCATCCAAAAGTAGCATTGTATGATTAATTGTATAGACATATGTCAATGTAGTTGAAGATTGAACGATCAATTCATGGTTGTTTGCTCAAAACCAACTTCCCCAATTTTCGCGGAGGCATCAATACACCAGTCATCGTCTGATTGGTCGCTGTTCAGAAAGAAGTCAGACCAAAACTGTCAGAAGTAATATTGTGATTTATTATTGTAATATTTGTTCATAGGCCTTAGTTTTAAAGCTTAGTTGTACAGTTGGCTATACGTTGGTGTTGCAATAAAGAATTCTCGAGTGGCCAATCGGTGTTTTGGTTTTTGCGTCCGTTATTACTAAGCGTTTCTGAGAAACTTCAAGGAACAGCGTGAGCCCGAGGGCGGCAAGATCTGGGCATCGATCATTTATGAGACGTGGCTGACAATTTCTGACATTGCAACGGCAGTTTTTAAACGGTTTTGGACATTTGGCACGACTTTGGATAGTCGCCGTTCATTTTTCCTGGTGCCGGTCAGGTCCTCTTTGAACAAGCAATATCTGGAACGTTTTCGGAATTGGGTGAAGTTCAACAATGCCTGGGTCAAAGAAGGGACAGGGTTTCTTGGATGCAAACAGGGAAGTAAATCATGGTGACTTGTCGGTTAATTGTAACGATGTGTCTGATGTCAAGCATGACATGGTTGATGTCACTGTTTCGCCGTTCAGGGATAATAGGAACATCAAACTCCCCAAATTTGAACCACAGTGTTTCGATGGAAACCCTGCTGATTATCTACAATTTGTAAAGGAGTTTGAGATCAGGCTAAGTAGTTTTTTATTAACTGATGAAATGAAGTTAATGTATTTGATGAGGTATTGCACTGGAATTGCTTCAAGAGCTATACAGTGCTGTAAGTTTATGAAGCCAAAAGAGGGCTACTACGAGGCTATCAGCATACTACGTCAAAGGTTTGGAAGACCTTCGATGATTGTAGGGAACGTATACGAAGCTGTCAAAGGTAACCACAGTCAACTTCAAGATGACTCCAAGGCACTTACTGAGTTTTTAGATAATCTGATGACTTATAAGAGGAAACTAATTTACCCCGGCAAGCGTACCTCATCTATAACGTGATAAAACCAACCTAATCTCTCCAACATGCCTTTACATAAGGTCCGGTTATTCAGCTTACTAGAGATCCTATCGATATTTCTTCAATCGGGTTTATAAACTCATTAGACTCTCCTGGATGTATAATCCCAAATTAGTTGTGATAGTTCTCCCACAATATAAGCAAACTGGTACTTTGTAATGTCTAAAGCATGCCATATGAAAAGTGGCCAGGAATACCTAGCAATAACAAACTCAACCAACCAACCATTTTTCCCAAGTTCATTCAACCTACCCTTATCCCTAATCGTACCACTACTCACTACACTCTACTCAGTAGAATATGACTTAATTTGCAGCGGTGCTCAAAACTCTTCTACCCTTTACTTTTTAAAAAAGACATTTTAACTACTAACTGCACAGTAGCCATTTAACTAACTCACTGGTTTCCTCTTCACTGTAATCTTCAATAAGTTCGTCAGTATAATTATTTCCGAAAACCATTACATTAGCAACCATATCTTTTAATATTTTACGAATATACTTATATTATTAGCATAATACACTGCACTATTTTTGAGTTGAATTGATTATCTTCGGTCAACAGTTACCCATTCTCATATAATTTTCAAAAATTCATAATGTTAAAGCTATGTAGTATTTCTGTTAATATCTTTTATAATATGTTTAGACACGTTACTTTGCAATGTCAGATGTCTACTATATACAAGACTGTCATGATAATTTAGTACACTAAGTCCTGCCAACCGACCTTACCTTCAGTCCATACTACCTACATTGATCCCTAACTATATTGTTCTGCTGAATCTTGCTTCACTATTCACAAAACCTATTCTTTTTATTCTTTAAGGTTTCAACTTATTGTAAAGTAATCTGTTCATTAGGACGCATGCATACATATATAATGTTCATAAAGATGTACGTGGAGACCTATTGGAAGCACTCATTAAGAAAGCTAGGGAGATGGAATATGGGGTACGAACATGTCTGGTACCAAGCAGTATATTTGCGGTAGCCATAATAATCATATTCTCAGAGCTTAACATCAAAAAAGGAGGGAGGGTGGCGTTAGCTGATCAGTAGATATGGTGGGGGTCACTAAGGTGAATCGCCCCATTCTGCAGGAACAGCAATATACAAATTAAAGGCTCGAGATATTTCTGATTTTTATGAGGGCTTAGATCTTTATCTTGTAAAAGATAATAATGAACGCCTTGACAGATCATGCTTCTACCTTTAAATATATACCATTTGCTCAGCCTATTGCTGAGATGCGACCATGTGGGATCTGAACAGATTTATGGGGCATCTTATAAATCAACTTGCTGTCCATTGTCGGATCTTTAAATACCACTTCACAATGTCTTATCTCATTCATTTTCTAATAACGTCTTTACTTAATCCTCATTGTATCCCATTAAACCTAACATTTTATAGCTCTTTATGAATTTGATTCGACTTATTCTATTCCTATTCTCTGTGAGGTACGGTTGTGCACCAAATGCACAAAAAAGCATAAAATAAAAAAACAGACATAAGGAAAAATGTATTAAAACCAAAAGTGGACATCATGATACTACCAGATATACGCGTAGCATTATACATTGCAAATGAACGTTGTCAGCCTAGGGAGTTTTCTATATTAATGCATTTATTAGTGATACTTGCACTTACCCATTTCATTACACTTTATTGATTCACCTAAGCACTTTTACTTTTCTAAAAACAGCTTTCAATCCGTTGTAAACGTTGTACTTACCTCAATATTGGTTGGTTATCGTATGCCGACAACCACGGGATGAAAACGAAACGAGGTCCATTTTCCCGCTCAACCTGGAGGACAATTGTATAATTCCATAACTATACAGCCTAGTTCAGACAATGTGTATTCATATATATATCAAATATTTAACTGTTGAAACATTTTTAACTTGTAGACAATCTACCATTTGATATTATATCATACTTGATCGTGCCTGTAAAAATGGCATGCATTTTCATGTAAATTTATATGTTTATATGAGAATATATATTATTATTATTATTATCACTTACTGAGTTTTTAGATAATCTGATGACTTATAAGAATACCTTGATTTCTATGAATTGCATGAGTGACCTCAACTCCAGCTCAGTCCTAGAGGTAATTGCGAGACGCCTACCTACTCGACTGCAAAGGAAGTGGGTGAAGATAAGCTCCCGTATAGAGAATGAAGGTATCGAGCCAAAGTTTGATGATATTCTGAAACTGGTAAGCGATACTGTCAATGAATCTATGAGCAAGTTTGCCAGTATATTGGATCTCACCCCTAGAATAGAGCAGTCTGAGAGCAAAATGCAATCATTGATGACGAATAGGCCTCAGAGAGGTGGATATCGAGAAGGCTCCATGATGTATAGTAATGCATATAGACCTAGTGAATGTAACAGGTTTCGTAGTACATCCTCAACAGATAAGTTACAAGATGCAAAACAAACACGGTTGTGTTTTACACGTTTGCAAGAGGTTCATACAAAGGTGAACTGTGAACCAGTGAGAAAGTTCAGTGATAAGCTAAATGTAAACTACAGGCGTGACTCCGAATTGTGTGACAATAACGGTGCGGTGAAGAAGTCTGTAGTTGCAACTGGTAAACCGTTGTTGAATAGAGTGTCACAGAGGAGAGTCACAGTCTCTGAGGACAGTTCTGACTCCGCCAGTTTACAAAGTATTACTAGTCAGAGTGAAGGTAAACAACCATTATTGTTTTGTGAAGAGGAACCAAAACTGTCTACTTGTATTATTGAAGAGTTTGCAAATGATGAACTCGACCAGATAGATGATGGTAAATTGAATATTTGTGATAATGACCATGATAGTGCAGATTTCTCATTGGTTGATCATGATGAAATGAGGGGAGTGCCTACTACTGCTAAGTTGAACCAAGGTTCTGAACAACTCGAACGTGAAGTAGAATTGAATGCAGATGCAGTTGCAGAAGGCATGCATACTTGTCAAACCGTAAGTGTGATTGATCAGCATGTAGCCCACCTATCATCAGATGCTAGTGCTAAACCGGAGCTGATAGTAAATGACAGCAGTGGTGGTGGTCTTGCAGTTAGACAAATTTCTGAAAGCCGAACAACAACAGCTTCTGATCCACCGCCAAGTTCATCAACTGGTATCAATCAGTCGTCGTTGGTGTTGTCATCCACAATGAAACAGACGCCCATCAACTCAAGTATCTTGTGCAATGACTTTGATAGCATTGGTGCATTTGAAAAGACGAAAGATATTGCTCAGTTTAGTGAGAATAAGCCAAGTGTAAACGAAAGAGTAATTGTTAAATTGACTTGCATGAATAAAGGCATTTCTAGTTTCAAGTTACTATTTGAATGTTATTATCTTTGGTGTATATTACTCTGTGCCTACGCTTGGTTGACCAGATATGTCGTGTGTTTGTTCGTCATCTATATTCTATGATACAATGACATGAGCGTGTTACCGTTCAGATTTGAGGATATAGCTGATAGAAGGAAGTCAGCAAATGAACTCAAAAACGATTTTCCAACCTAGAGTGTCAACCTGAGAAGGGTTGTAGGCGTACTGTTGTAAGTCCTACAATTCTTCAAAGGGTAGCGCATCAATGAGCAGCCCAACGTGCTTGGTGTGTGATTTTGTACATATGTTCATATTGTATATACTGAATTGATATCATCTGTCATCTAGCTGTTGGTAATTTTGTTTGTGTACGGACGACTTCCACTTGGATCATCAACCTGAGAAGGAATGCAGGCGTACTGCTATAAGTCCTACAGTTCTTCAAGTGTAGTTTGTCGTGCCAGAAACCACAACATTTGATGTGTTGATTGTACATATGTTTGTGTTAAATAATTGTGTTAGCTCCAATTATTGCAATTGTTGGTTAATCTTGTTTGTGTCCGGACATTCCACAACTTACAATCGTCAACCTGAGAAGGGTTGCAGGCGCACTGGTGTAAGTCCTGCGATTCTTCAAAGGAATTCCATCAAGATGTGATCCGCGAGTTTTTGTGTACAGTTTGTATATATGTGTGGTGTGTCATATCAATTTGTTTTTGGATTAATTGTGTTTACTTGTTGTTTTCGTATCTTGTTGTTATTGCATAATTTTGTTAAAATTTTCGTCGTGATTACCTCTGAAGTTGTTTCGAGTCTTCCACAACCGTGAATGTATTGATTGATTTTAGATACAGCAGATGGGTCGTATGCGCCGGGGAGGCTAGGCTTTTGCTGAGAATGAAATGCACACGGAGATAATTGTTAGCTGCGGTCCGACACGCCGGGGAGAAAGAGTGTAAACGACTGAGGCTCGCATGCGTCACCGTAACTAGAACTGAGGCAGAATGAGTGACAAGCGATTGCATTGGTAATTGGTAGTGAGTAGATAAGAGGATGTGCGTAGAGTATCGTGAGGTGCTGATATGGCCACGTTGCATTCTGCAAGAGTCATTCTAGCAAGTGGCGATTGTGTTGCAAGATGTCAAGAGGATGCCTTTAACTGGAAGGTGCAGGTCGTCATTGATGTTTGAGATTGTGCTGTGGGTATGCTTGTGATGTGAGTTGGATTTTCTGTTTGCTTTCCATTTCAGCTCTGTCCATGTGACCCAGGTTCTCGCAATGGCATCCAAGTCAACGCGTATTGGTCGTGATAGAAAAAAAGGGGTTGGATCCAATTATTGGCGGGGAGTGTCAATGTAGTTGAAGATTGAACGATCAATTCATGGTTGTTTGCTCAAAACCAACTTCCCCAATTTTCGCGGAGGCATCAATACACCAGTCATCGTCTGATTGGTCGCTGTTCAGAAAGAAGTCAGACCAAAACTGTCAGAAGTAATATTGTGATTTATTATTGTAATATTTGTTCATAGGCCTTAGTTTTAAAGCTTAGTTGTACAGTTGGCTATACGTTGGTGTTGCAATAAAGAATTCTCGAGTGGCCAATCGGTGTTTTGGTTTTTGCGTCCGTTATTACTAAGCGTTTCTGAGAAACTTCAAGGAACAGAGTGAGCCCGAGTGCGGCAAGAGCTGGGCATTGACGGTTTACGAGACGGGGCTGACATGAAGAGTGAATTCAAATATCCGGAAAATTAGAATTCGTAGGACAACCTGGCCTGTAAGACGCCCAACAGATAGCATCTTGACAAGAAACTGAACAGTCTTTTAGAAGGTAGTAGCAGAAGCACTTTTTTATTTATAAGTTGGATCTGTACAACTTTTATTTTTTTGTTGAGGGTCCAGACTAATGTTGGATTCTCGAGCTGCCAAGAAATGCATGTTGCTGTCCTATAGATTTGAACAATTCACATTTGTGACCATTACCATATCTGATGATCGGCACGCGCCAACCTCCCTCCTTTTTGACGTTAAGCTCTGAGATCCTTTGCAATAACTGTAGTTGCAGCATTGCGTCACTTTGAGACCGTCCGAATCTTACAGTATGCTGTGCATTAATAGCTTTCATAACAAGTCTGTCTGTCTTTTTTCGACATAGAACTTTGCACAAATGTGCGGAAGTTCAAGTCGCCACATTCCGTGTAGCACGCGAAGCAAGAGAAGAAAGTACAAGAAAAGCATAATAGAAACAGTGAGCAGAGGTGTGAGACAAAGGAGTAATAAAGAAATACAAAACAGTTTCATTGGAGATCATAAGTCACAGGGAGTGGATGCATCTGCGCCACTGAGAACGATTTTGAGCCATGTCACCAATTGTTTCCAACCATAGATTTTTACCGTCCCGAGGACCCCAGCCTGGAAGTCTACACCTTCCTACGTGGCTTAGACCAACTGTTGTGGATTTCATTGACTGATGCCAAGTTTTTGTTTGACCGCCGCTAGCTTTTTTCCAGCCTGACCCTATATCCGCTAACATTGCTCGTCGAGGGAGGCGATGGCTTGGCATACGTAACACATGTCCTAACCATCTCAGTCTTTGTAGCTTCACGACTTCGTCGATTGATTTCCCCTGTTTACCTAGAACTCTACGCCTAACCTCCATGTTGCTCACCTTATTATGCCACTTTACACGGGAAATAGAACGCAGGCACCTATGATCAAAGACAGCTAGTCTTTTCATGTCTTCCACTCTCAGTGGCCAGGTCTCACAACCATAAAGGAGGACGGAGCGGACTGATGAGCAGTACACCCGCCCTTTGGTCGATAGTCGAACATCTCGTCTACGCCAGAGTCGGCGTAAACTAACAAATGCGAAACGAGCCCCTTGTATTCGTGCTGAGATTTCGTCAGAGATCAGCCCGTTGGGGCTGATGGTACTTCCCAAATAAGTGAAGCGGTCAACGTGCTCTACCACTTCACTTCCTATTTTTAAACTAGGCGTCGATGTAGTCCAGTCCTGTAACATCATCTTGCATTTGGCGGGAGCGAATCGCATGCCAAACATTCGTAGATTGCGGCTCAAGGTGTTTAGAAGACTCTGCATTTCGTCAGCGTCTTCGCCTAGAAGGACTATATCGTCTGCATATTCCAAGTCAACGAGATTATTCCCCGGTAGCAAGTCAATCCCTGAGTCGCTGAAGTCACCTAGGGTTAAGTCCATTAACACATCTATGATGAAGTTGAATAGAAAAGGAGATAATGGGCATCCTTGACGGACACCACTGGTCGTCATCAGTTCAGATGACAGCTCGCCGTAAGCCCTCACCTG